TAGTCTCGCGCGGGTGGGTGGGGGGGCGATCCCTCAGGGGGCGGTAGCTCTGCGAGGCGGGAGCGGGATAAGCTATGAGGTAAAGATGTCCTCCGGAGAGTCTAGGCAGACAGAGGGGCTGACAGATTGGTGCTCTTTCGGGGGTGCTGAGGGACCCTCAGCCGGGCTGGGCTGCGCGGGGGGCCGTGGTGATGGGGAGGGAGCCATTTGCAGGGAGCTGCTAGCTGAGGAAATGGGCTGGTGCCCCCTCAGTACACGTGGGTCCTGAGTAAAGCCGCCTCCCCACTTTTTCTGCAGCTTTTCCACCATGAAGATCCAATACCTGCTCCCCACTCTGCTGTACCTCTTGCTTGTGCTGCTGAGGCGTGGTGGTGAGTGTTTGGTCATCCCAGCTTGGGCCCACAGGGCTCCCCTAGGCAGGGGCCAGCTCCAGACTGGTAAAAGGTGGAAGAGGGCTGCTCTGCAGCTCTCTGGGGAGACCTGTGCCATGTTTCCCATCAGCTCTTCTTTCACATCTTACCTTTGACTTGGTGTGCTCACGCACAGACAGTGCTGCGCTTGAGGTACTGTTGTGATGGAGCACTTGCCTCGTGTTCCAAAATCGCTTCTGCAGAAGCAGACTAAATACTGTCTGTGGTGCCGTCAGCGAGGAACTGGGGAGCTCTCCTGCACTTAAATAACTCCTTAAGAATGCTGTGCAATATATAGCAACAAGAAAAAAGTGTCCAGGGCAACCTGTTTATCTCTAAATTTCTGGTCTTATTTTTACATAGCTCTTTGTTCTTCGTCTTGTCTCTTGTGTCGTTTAAACATACAGTGAATAAAATAGACTTGAATTGCAAATGTCAAAATTGTTCACACATGACCAGCTTATGATTTTCATGTCAGTCATATTGGTACTTGGAATCTCAGCCTCTGTTAAAGCATGATGTGGTACAACATAGCTGGATTGTTGTAAAGTGTACCCCTTAATAGCAATATTTCCGAGCACTATAATAAGGTGCTTGTGATTTCTGAAGTGTTAAGATAGTAATCGTACATTCTCTTGAACATCTGGGTACCTGGTTTGAATTTGTGACCCAAGAAGCAATGTTAAACTAAATTCTGGGCATTTATGACTTCTGAGTTACTAGGAGCAAATCAAGAAACAATTAGTGTGGGTTTAAAGCATCCTATAGCTTTTTCTTGGTGTGAACTTCTGTTGCTCTTCAAATATTTAAATTGCTTCCTTGTAATGTGTTCAAGTGACAGTTACTTACTTCTCCTTTTAAGTTGTTTAGTCACCTTGAAATAGGCTGCACTCCCTTTGCTGTTTTTCATGTGTACTAATTTTATTAATCTGACACTGCAGGTACCAATGGACAAAATGTCTATATCACAAAAGAAAGTAGGTAGTTCTTCTGAAGGACCTATTAATCATTCATAGTAATTGAGATTTGTGGGGGGTTTTTTGGTTGGTTGATTTATTTTATTTTTTTTTGTTCCCCCCCCCAGATGGAGCCATTGTATTGTCTGTCCCTGAAGTGGTTTCATTAGAAAGTGGAAGTTCAACAAATGTCACTATCTCTCTGAGGTAAAATCATGATTGCATCTTTACTGTCTCTTTGGAACGGAGAACGAGCAAGCGGGTAGGACTTGGCTATATACTTAAGACTTTCCTGCAGACTCAGTTAATTGTTCATACAGAGTGAATCTCATTGGTGTGACTGGCCACTTCTAGACTATTAACATCGCTTAGTACCGATATGGACAAGATAGTGCAGCGTTCTCACAAACAGCCTTCTATGGTTGGCCTCTGACAATATCCCATGCCATTTGATGGGAAGTTGAGCAGGAAAAGATGTTTTATACTGTCTGCCCTATATTAGCTTACTGAACTGTCTTCCATAAGTGAAATTACAGTTCCTCCATTTCTGAAAACTGATGCTTAAGTGAAACTTGCATTTCCTAGAAGGATCACCAAAAAAACTTTACCAGGGAAACAGAACTCTCCATTTCTAGCAACGAAGCTTAGCTCCTGCAGAGTTGCGGCTGATGCACCTTAATCTGATTGATTAATACAGTGCATTGTTTACCCATGTTTTTGCTATGTCAGCCTCTTCCCAGGAAAGGATTGTTAAACACAGGCACCCCTCCCCTTTGGGATCTCAAAGTTTGAGTCAGATGAAAATGTAAGAACTCTGATAAAAAGGAAAATAGCAAAACATGACTGCAACAGTCTAGAACTTTTATTTTTGCAAAGAAAGGTGTGGTACTGTAATCTTTTTCATGGACAAGTACAGGCATTTGAACCTTATGATATTTTAAGTACTTCTGTGGAATTAAACCTCCTGGACAAATGCTCAGTGGAGTTCTCTGGGAAAGCTGTGCAGGACTATGTCACTTGAAGGGTTTTTATTTGAGGGTTTTTTGGTTTTGTCTTACCACACTGCTATAACTTCTGCCCTTCATCACCCCAAGTACATGTCCATCATTTCTGCCCCCCTTTACCAGCAAAGCACAATGATAAGAGTCTGGTAGCGATGACTTTGTTCTGACACTTGTACGGAGAAGGAGGAGGTAAAATGTGTCCATATAACTGTCTAATGCCCATCAGTAGTTCAGATGAAAGAAATAGTAGAGTGCTAACATACTTTGGCGCTCTTGTTCCTCCAAGTACTAGGTAGGTACTGTTGTGTATGGACTGTTCGTTGTATTTGCAACAGCTGTGAGGATTTAGCAGATACTCTCCCGCAGCCCTGAAGCAGTCTTTGTGAATTCAGACACCAGTCTAACTTGTTTTTTCTGCCTTCACAGGGCTCCATTAAATGAGACGCTGGTGATAACTCTTAATATTACACACTCATCAAAACACAGCACCATTGTTGAATTGCCTGATGAAGTAAGTGACAGAACAGACTTCTGACCTTATGCAAAAGGCTGCCTCTTGTATGCTGCAACTCTCCTCTTTCTTCCCTCCACTTTGCCTTGCAGGTACAGTTGCTTGCAGGTCACACTAAAGCAGACTTCCAAGTGAAAGCAGATGATGTTGGACAAGTAACAGTTTATCTTTATACCATTAATTCCAACTTAACTGGGTGAGAAACTGGTTTTTAATTTCCCTTACTATCCTACAGCCTCCTAAACTTTGGGGTAACTATTCCCTCCTTATAGTTAAATAGTTAATGTGACATGGGTGGTATGTAGTTGAGAAGATGTGGTGACTCTCCAGCAATCCCCAAGGTATTTGGATAAATACAGGGTATGGAAGCGGAGTGATAGTCTTGGTATCTTAGATTTCATTACTAGATGACTAAGTTCTCGTGGCTTCTTAGTCTGGTTTTAATAACCCCTCCCAAAAGTATCAAAACTACATGGCAGCTTTTCTGATCCAGGAAGCATTTGGTTGTAAACGCCCAGTGGGATACTGTTCTTACTGTGCAGAGCTTGTTCTGGAATGCTAATAGCCTGATGTAGCTGTGCACCTATGTCACTACCATGAGATATAGCTGTCTTGCTTTCTAGTTAGGGGAGCCCTCTTTTCACAGACGCCAGTTCTCCCTAGTAGGAAAACAGTCTAGCAAGATGGAGAAAACTGGATTGTATTTGCCTGTTTCCCAGATGCTACTGAGCAACAGGATACTCCTATTTTACTTCCTCATTTTGCTTCTGCTTTTAAGACTCAAAGCAAATGCAGAGGTAAGCACATGAAATGCCCAACAGGACAGGCGTGATCATGAGGCTTTGCTGGCAGAGCGTCAAGAGTGAAACTCTGCTGTTGCGTAAGAGACCTCGTGCTAGGAGAGTGGAAGCCATAGGAACGAGATGACCTTTTTGAGGATTTCTGTGGTGAAAGAATGGAAAGGAAAGAGGCAAGAAGGAAAGGGTAGGTTGAGGGTAGGAGTGCGAGATGTCCTAAACATAACAAGGACACTAAAGGAAAGGGGAGCAACTCAACTGAAGCAACTCTGAATCTTTATTGTCTTGTCTCAATACCTGGACTCTGTTTTCTTTTTCAAAGCAGAAGAAGGGAAAATGTCCTGAAAAAAGTGTGAACAGACGAATTAACTAATTCTGTTTGCATTAACTGTTAGACCTAGGATTCAATTTCAAGTGATTCATAGCATCATAGTGAGATACGCTGATGAGGTGATTGGCTGGATCTATTTCCTCGCCTGGTCTGTCTCCTTTTATCCTCAAATCTTTGAGAACTGGCGACGAAAAAGGTAAAGAGACTTACGATGTTTTTGCAAGTCACTTAAGCACTTCTGCAAATCATGTTCCTAGCTTCAGTTACATCCATCTTGGTTATTGTGAATTATGCATGGAAAGACGGGGGAAAAAAGCAAGGCAAAGATAAGGCCTGAATAAATACAGCCCCAATGAGCATAAAATCTTGCAGGTCAGAGGAAACTCGGTGCATCCTATAGACACCTAATCCTAAGGTTTGGCATCCAAAGCTGATTTGTGATAGAGGAGACTTCCCCAGTCCCTTTGGTGTCTCAGCCCGATGATTTACAAGATGACAACTATGATGACCACTTTCAAAGATTACTTACCTTGTGAGCTGTTTATCAGATAGCTCCTTGTAGTATAATAGTTAGGCCAGGTCCCCTTAAACTAAGTGTGACTTTAAGTAGAAACATTATTATATATGAAAGCTAAAGCATTTGTTCTGGCAAAGATGCACTACTGCTTCTATGGATTCAGGCTGGAATGGTTTTCTCAGACTAGCTGAGCTCATGGAGGGGTGAAGTTAAACAGCAGGGACACAACCTTGTCAGTGAGAGCTGTTGTTGAGTCCCAGTGCATGGCATATGAGGGATATTTTTGCCTTGCTTCCCAACGCACTCACAGCGTCATGTTGTCACAATGCCTGCAGCTTTTGCTTACATCAAAAATTGCCTATAAATCAGTACATTCTAGGGTCAAGTTGTCCCTGGAACTGTTGGTAAAGCTGTGATGCATATTTCTCATACTTATTTTCCCCCCTTCTCTAGTGTTGTTGGACTAAGCTTTGACTTCATCGCATTAAACCTTACTGGCTTTATAGCATACAGTGTGTTTAATGTTGGACTTTTCTGGATTCCCTTGGTTAAGGTGAGCATGACTATCTCTTAATACTTGCCGGCGGGTGGGTATCTACAGAAGGGAGTTAAGGCATTTGGCTGGTTTTGGTTTCTGTTACATTTAGGAGGAATTCTTAGTCAGTTATCCCAGCGGGGTGAACCCTGTGGCTATCAATGATGTTTTCTTCAGTCTCCACGCAGTAGCTCTCACTCTCCTCACCGTCGTTCAGTGCTGCATCTACGAGGTAAGGCTCACCGCGGGGCGGACCTGTCAGCTCTGGCAGAGCGCCCTCTGCCGGGCACCTCACTGCTCACCCTCCACTCCTGTTGGGCTCCAAAGTCCTCTTCATTGTACTTTCATTGGCCTTTCAAGAACTCTGGCTTCACAATCCAGCTGCCTTTATCTTTCCTGAGCTAGTAGCAACTCCAGGAAGCTTAGCCGCTTCAGCCCCATGGATGTTCTGAGCGTAAAAGTAAAATCCTTAGGGACCCAAAATAACTAAGGCAAACAACCAAGTTCATGAAGTTCCCAAATGGATCTCTAGCCAGTGCATCACTTACAGCTCTACACAGTACAAATGCTGGTATGTGCTTTGCTGTTAATTCACTACTCGGAACATTCTTCAAGCTAGGACAGGCCCTTAGGGATTCTCCGCAATTTAAACTTTCAACTTCTTTTCTCCTAAAACAGCTGCAAAGGCCCTTTTATAATGCCTGCCCTTCTCAGGTGAGACCGATGGTTATAGTCAGGTGGTTCTTTATTTAATTCCCATTGTAAAAGCCTTTGATCTGAACAGCCAGTTTTCTCTAGATGATAACTGTTTCTCTCTTGGGGTGCTTCCTTTGGTGATGCTAAACTTTAAAACAGTAACAGCCCATTTGTCACCACTGCTAGGTGCAATAGTCTTTTCTAGTGAAGAACTAGAAGGCAACCATTAATTTTTTACCATAATGGCATTAGCAGCCTTTTGCATGTATAGGAACTCTTGATGTCATCAGCCTGAACTCGGGAGATTGTTACAGGTGTGGCACTGACAATAGGCATCATAAATACTCAAGAATACTGCCACAATGTTGTTTCCCACTTGCTCATCAACAGCAGTGTTCCAAGTGACTGATGTTGAATATTGCCCATCAGCTCTTGCAAATCTAGAGCTGGCAGAACTCATTTAATTTTAAAATTCCCCTGTGGTATGAGCCTAATGGGTACAACAACAGGTTTGGACTGTAACCTTGCATAGTCCTGAGCATATTCTATATCTTACAGTGTGTCTGGGGATGTATGACCTAGGTCAGTCTAAGTGTATCTGCATTTCTGTTTCAGAGAGCAGGTCAGAAAGTATCCAAAGTTGTTGTGGGACTACTGGCACTTGCGTGGATCTTCACATTTACAACACTGTTTCTTGCTGCAGCTGAGGAAATGACATGGCTACAGTTCTTATTCTGCTTCTCTTACATTAAGTTAGCAGTCACACTGATAAAGTATTTTCCACAGGTAAATCTGAAATTTTCTGCTTTTATACTACATTCCTGTCATCCTAAGCCTGTAGCGTATGCTCTTGAAAGTCTGACTAGACTAAACCAGCAATGATTATTTATTAAGTCTTTTAGTGACAAAAATGGTATAGTTACACAGAAGGCTTCTTAAACGGTAATCTCAGAAATGCTTGTACATGACATGCTGACCAACTTGTTGTTACACTCTCAGGCATACATGAATTTCCGTCGGAAGAGTACTGAGGGATGGAGTATTGGAAATGTATTACTGGACTTCACTGGTGGAAGCTTCAGCCTCCTCCAGATGTTTTTGCAGTCATACAACAATGGTAAGGCTGGAATTGAGATGGTGGGGCCTTTCTTAATGAGGTGGGAGAATCCTGCTACAAGGCAGGTAATAACTGGTAGGTTACCTTGGGATAATGATGTTTGTGCTATAGTATGGGTAGCTGTTCTTACACCAAGAAAAAAAAAATCTGTTCATATTCCTTCAAAACAGGAACAGTTATTAGTTAGCTTTGCATAAGATGTACACTACAGACATACTTAAGGTATGTTAGGCAATCCAGGTAACAAACATGAACTTCAGGGCATGACCTTGTAGTCTTGAGACGAGTACACTTGAGGAGTTAGTCTTAACTCTCTAATTTTGTGTTTGACAGATCAGTGGAAGTTAGTCTTTGGAGATCCAACCAAGTTTGGCCTGGGTGTCTTCTCAATCGTCTTTGATATTGTTTTTATGGTCCAGCACTACTGCCTTTATAGGAGACGAGGGTATGAACCTTGTGAATAACATCACTTACGAAGATAAAAACTTTAAATTGAACTTGCCCTGACCCTGGCTGAGGGCTTTCAAGATGCCTACCGCCACTTACCAGAAATACTGAGTCTGATCTCTGTTTATACTTCAACCCTCTCTGGTATGGAATACAAGCTGTTGCCTTGCCAAATGCTGATTGCCAGATGCCTTAAAGGACAGCAACCTCTCTAGCCACCACTTGCAAATGGAAGCCCTATGCCTGCTGAAGCTCCAAAGACAGCTTAACTTGAGCTGTCCAAGCAACATGTGGCTCTTCTTCCATTAACAACAGGAAAGAGAAAGACCAGAGTGATGTCTTTCCAATTGGAAGTGAAGCATAAAGAACAGAGTTCTGGCTTCCAAAAATCTGAGCTTAGTTTAAGCAACCACTTAAGATATTAAGTAATGACTGAAGACTGTCTGTGAATTTAAGTGCTGTGGCTGACTCCTCACAGACAGATTACAGCAGAACACCACTCAGGTTGGCTGTTAACAGCCATAATGGTACATGGAAGAATGATGAGGTTCGTAGCAAATACACAAATATTAGAACCTGAATTTTTTATTAAAAAAAATACTGAAAAGCAGCAGAAACTGTATGCTTATTTCAATGAATGCTCTTTCAAAGGTCCTAAGACAAGTGCTCAGATTTATCTGAATACTTCTAGTGCACTGACTTCACTTTGCTATTGACATGTCTTGAATCCTAAACAGTGGGTGGTAAAGATTTATCAAAGAGATTATTTCTAAGTGCATCATGCTAACAGCCCCATGATTAAAGTTTAAACATACATTTTTGTTCCTGGGCAACTTTAACTACACATGGTATGTTCTACCTAGAGATCAAGGTCTTGAGTTACTTGAAGGTAAGCATTATACCCTTTAAAAGAAACTAGAAGGGAATCCATGCACTTGTACTTGAACATTCAAAAGCCACTATGTCTTACTGGGTGCCAACCTAAGGAAAACTGGAATCCCTGCTGCCAGAAACCAGGTAAGGTTTGACAGCTAACACTGCAAATACCCACCAGTGAAATCAGACCTTACTAACCTCAGACTGTGTTGATGTAGTCAGCAATCCACTCAGAGCCAGAAAAAAGGCCTCAGCTGGATGTGGCATTCTTAAACGTGAGGAGAAACAACTCGGGAAATCCAACTTTGTTTTATTGTGTGTAAAATCAAGTGAAATAGCAGTACAAATAGCAGTGTATCTTTATAGTAACAAAAATAACTTCAACTTGAAAGCCTTAAAATTTACCACTGAATTCTTAAGTTACAAAATTCAAAAAGCAGAATTGTAGTAATTCCATAGATATAAAAATGGTAAATAGGCATCTGCTGGTGCATACAGAACAGTCTGAGATGCATCAATCACAACATACGTACATGGCACAGCAGTAATGTACTGAATAAGTTAGTCTGCCACCTCCTCATGTTCTATTTACAACAGCTTACCTGAAGACTGCTTAAAGAAAGTATAGATATGTATAAATCAACTGAAGGGGATTAAAAACTCCAGTTTTTGGATAACTGTAAAGCTAGCTGGTTAACAAACCACTAGGATGCTAGATAATTAGTGTTGCAGCAAGAATCTTAAATCCTGTGGCATGTTGATTTAAGCAACTTAGTATCTTACCAGAAGTTTACATTTGGTCAAGAGGCACTTTTGCAAATTACTGGCATATTCATCTCTTCCATCTAATAAGTCAGTGATTTAAGCAAAGTCTTCTAGAAGACAGACCAAAATCCACCCCTCCCATTTCAAGTCTGATAGAAGTGGATGAAGAACTGAAGACTCTACAGCTATGAGCAGCTCTTTTGGTAAGTTCAGCAACAGTGTTTTCTTTCCTGCTCCATGTTCCTGTCATTGAAGTTTGATTGATTTGATGTTACAAATTACTTGGGAACAAGAAGAATTAAGGTTTTGCTCTGACAGTGAAGCTGAACTGTAGTGTCTATGAACTTTTAGTGTACTTCACAGGCATTAACCCAACACTTCTGTGTTACTTACTAGTTTCTTGTTTGTTTCTTGTCTGAAGAGGCTGCTCTGTACAGGGAATCTTTGCAGTAAACCATAATGCCCCAAACCCTTCAGCATATTCTGTCTAGCTAGCACACAACGTGGGGTTAGTACAGTGCTCCTCCCCACAGCAGTGTGCAACTCCTAATTCTGGCATTTTAATTTGATAGCATGGGAGGACAGGACAGCTTGCTTCTAAAAGCTTAAGTACAGCAAACTCTCTTATCTTCCATAGCAGAAACCACATTTCCTCTTAAAATAGGAAGCTTTTGTGCTACAAAAGAATCCTGTCAAAATTAAGGCTTTTCTAGTTGCTTCCTTAGATAACTAGGGTTTGTCCTGTCCTCCTGAAAGCCATGACTACAATAAAGTCTTACCATGTACCTGCAGGGAAGACTTTAGAGAAGCACTCTGCTGAGGGGACTAGAGTTTTACTACTGCCAGTTACACCAGAGGAAAGGAGAAAAAAAAAAAGTGTTTACCACAGTTAGGAACATGCACTCCTTCCAGACAACCTGTTCCAGTCTAGTATTTGCTTCCTTGCTTGATACCACTCTATGTATCTCCCTCCCCAACCCTTCCCCAACTTGATGACTGATTAGGCCATCATGGATTGTTGCACAGCCTTCTGCAGAGATTGCCTGGTCACCAGCAGCCGTACCACTTCTTCGTTTCTTTTTGTCAGCCTCTTCCTAGCTTGGTCATGGGTCACCATTGTCATATCCCAGCCATTCACCTAGGAAAAACCATAAACTGAGGCAGATGCGTGGACTCACAGGTGTCCTGTAACTGTTCTATCAGAACTATGTCGTAGATATGCTTATGCCACAGCTCAGTTTATTTAAAAGCCCCACAAACTGTCCTGAAAAGTACCCAGAAGACAGTATTTCCCCCAGCAGTAACTTCTCTGTAGCACGCACCTAGTACTACATTAGTACTTGTCTTATCCTGGTGTTTACCTGCATGATCTTATCTCCAATCTGAAGTCCCGCAACTTCTGCTGGGCCTCCTTCCGTCACCCTTGTTACATAGATACCCTGGCAAAAAAAAAATTAAGTGTTCATTTACTAAATATGGAAGCATTAAATACTCAAGGGCCATTCTACTGACAATGTAAAAATACTTTGTAGTATATTATGAGATTCTACTTAAAAACAGGTTTGTGCAATGTTGGAAAATAGAAAAGGTGGAGACCTGACTTAAAACAAACTTAGTCTGTGAATGATAACGTGGCGACAGAGTAACTTTAGTAGTCAACTGCGTGAGAGGAGAGAATACAGATGCAAGTGAGTCAAGCTTACTGGCCAAGTTAGGTATGCTCAGCCTTTTGCAGAGATAGTTGCTACAGAAGACAAAGAGCAGCTGACCTTGTCAGTCTTGTCTTCAGAGAAAGGATTCTGAGTAGGATCCTGATCAATGCCTCCTCCAATGCTGAATCCCAGAATCAAATTGTCACCTTGACGAAGCTTATGTATTTCAATTCTTTGCTGAAAAAAGGTAAAATAGCTGAGTATTGTGACCACTGGAAGAAATCTCAAGTGTTTCAGACACAGATACTTAAGACCCAGTTAGACTGTCTCTCACAGAGATGCCATAAATCTACCAAAGCGGGCTGCATCACAGCTTGGTAAGCTTACATATTGTGAGCAGACAGCTCTGAAAGCCCTTGGCAGTGCAGAGCTATCACGTGGCATTTGCTGTCTGTCAGTCACATGCAACCTTGGTGTTGACAGCAATTGGCTCCGAACTGTTCTCAGCCCTACCACAAAACAGCAGGACAGGGAGCCATCTGCACGCTCATCCCAAGGGCACTCATGCCACAATACAGCCAAGCTCCTTAACTACTCAGTGCTTTACTGCTGGCCCGAAGATACACGGGGAGAACACTAAAACCAGAGCAGGTCTCTTTAAACATGAGTCATGTCTTGATAACTAGCAGTCACTCATAGCTAGACTCATCTTGCTCTTTATCCATGTGCCTTGTGTTCCGGCCCAGCCTTATCAGTAGAAATAACAACCTATTATTAGGATGGTTCTTTTTCAAGATAACTTATCGACACACTTCTGTAATCCAGAGGCAGGTTCCTTGCTGTCTGATGAACACAGGCATCTGACAAACTTTACGCATTATCTAAGTATAAATGCCAGCTTGTGCAATATCTTGAGCCAAGGTAAAAAGCCACGGTCTTAACTGAAACAATAACCACTCAAAAGGTTCTTCAACCTGATCTAGTGGGAGATGTCCCTGCTCATTGCAGGGGGGTTGGACTAGATGACCTTTAAAGGTCCCTTCCAACCCAAACCATTCCACGATTCTTCTCAAACAGCCCTGTCAGGCATGGAGCTTCCTCAAGGGCACTAGGCTGGGGTTCTGTCTAGGATACAGACTGCTTGGCCACACCAGGACAGCTTCCGTGTCCTCAGAACTGTTTGCTCTTACACAGCTGGCAGTGCTGCAGCATCTTGCGGCTGGGCTAAGTGTCACACCACCCAAAGCACAATTAGATTTAGTATTCTAACTAGTGGAAGCAACAGCAGTGACCCTCCGTTTGTTGATTAAATCAAATAATATATACTTCATAAGCTCTACTTCTTAAACCCCACCTAGGCAAAGCAGGTGCTT